CAGGCCCGCCTCTGTCAGCAAGGGCAGTCGGCGCTCGGTAGTCCCGGCCTTCGCCTACTTGTCTTGTGCTTGACTTTGTTCCTCACGGCTGACCCTTTCTATTTTGGCAAGTCCTCAGCTCTGAAGAAGCTGGGAAGCAATTTTCAGCCTTTTTCTGGTTCTTAGGATTGTACAAGACCTCCTGTACACATAACATTCTCTGTTTTCTTTGTACGCATAAAACCTAGGCTTTTAATTCTTGAGAATTAACTCGAGTTAATCCTCGAGTTCTTTGGCTTTCACCAGAATAAGAATAAATGATGCTTCTTCTTGGTCTTGAGATTCAGACTGACCCAGGAACTTTTGCTTGGAAGTTTACTATCACAGCTCACTTATCATGGTTAACAGAGGCTTAATCTGTGTGCACAACTGCCATCAGGCATTCAGACTTCACAGCTCTTTGTTTTATAGTAGAAGCAAACTTAAGTCCGGCTGTAGCACATGCGTGTCAAGGCATACAGTCAAAATACGTATTTTTATTTGCAGGTACAACATGCAAGTAAACAAATTGCTGCTGATAAGCAGTACAAGGGTATCATCGATTGTGTCGTGCGTATTCCAAAGGAACAAGGAGTGCTGTCTTTCTGGAGAGGAAACTTGGCAAATGTCATCAGATACTTCCCAACTCAAGCTCTCAACTTTGCCTTCAAGGATAAGTATAAGCAGGTGTTCTTGGGAGGTGTAGACAAGCACACTCAATTCTGGAGATATTTTGCGGGTAACCTGGCTTCTGGTGGTGCAGCTGGAGCCACTTCCCTCTGCTTTGTCTACCCCTTGGATTTTGCAAGAACCCGTTTGGCTGCTGATGTTGGAAAAGCTGGTGCAGACAGAGAATTCACTGGTCTAGGGGACTGCCTAATCAAAATTACCAAGTCTGATGGTCTGCGTGGCTTGTATCAAGGGTTCAATGTCTCTGTCCAAGGCATCATCATCTATAGAGCTGCCTACTTTGGGATCTATGATACAGCAAAAGGTAACGTTTCAGAGGGGATCTGATAAACCTATTTTCAGAATTGTATTGTCTGATTATGTCTGTTCTTGGATGTTACTCTGTGTGTGTAGTAACTATGTGAGCATGGAGGGGCAATATTGGTGCCAACATCAGTGATGCTGCAGTGTTCAAGGCAAAACTTGAGCACGTGTGGCTGGCAGCAGGCTACTTTCAAGTACTCCTGGTTTTTTTACTTAAAGGAGTTTCTCCTAATGCCAGCAGAGCATGTTGGTAACCATACACAATTACAGTAAGTTCTTTTTTGATCAGTGCGTTACTGTAGTTACATTGGACAAATTCCAGTATGTTTAGCAGAATGGGATTGAGCGGTGCTTTTACAGAACACTTGTTAAGCTTGACATTTGGGCATAGAGGTCATTGATACTACCTTATAGTTTAATGTAATTCACGGGGATAGTGACTTAGTTTAGTGACCTTTATTCCTAAAAGGAGTAGGGAATAGTTGGGTTTCTTACGCCAGTCTGAAAAGAACGCTGGTGCTTAAATGTTGCCTGTTTTGATTACTGAGAAGAAAATCCTCTGAATTTCCTTAGATGTTTTTTATATTGCTTCAGCATGTTTAAAGTTTATCAAGTGTCTTGTTACAATTTCAAAATATGGCTTTACAATGTTTCATAATAGTTCGTCTAGTAAAGTAGCTGTCATGCAGTGAGTGAACTGGTGGAGGATGTATAAATAAAAAGCTAATTCTTTTTTTATTGTAGGCATGCTCCCAGATCCCAGAAATACTCATATTGTTATCAGTTGGATGATTGCCCAAACGGTGACTGCTGTGGCTGGAGTGGTCTCCTATCCTTTTGATACAGTGCGGCGTAGAATGATGATGCAGTCAGGACGCAAAGGAGGTAGGCTGTTAATTTGTGTAGTTCTTTAGGCAGCATTAACAAGATGGAGTTCTTTTTTTCCTAATAATCATTCCTCAGCACTTAGAGTTCCTTGTTCCATAAATCCGATTTAAGTTATATTACATATAAATGATATGAGGAAATGCAGTAGGACTCAAATTGTGGTGTTTGTCAGGGATTATGCTGAGGACTTTTCTTTATAGAATATGAAATGGGCAAATGCACTGCCTGTTTGCAGTCACAAATTAGATGAAGGCAATTAGGGGACAGTGTAATTGTCAAAATTTTGTGACTTTGCTTTTAACGCCTAGACAAGTGGATAGGAAGCTTTTCTATTGCCTGAACTAAGTACTCTGTTACAGTCTGAAAATGTGGTTTGCAACACTGTGAAGTAGCTAGAGAAGTGAAATGGGGCAGTTGTTAAAAATGTCTTGGATACACTTATAGGAGTGGAAAAAAAAAAGACTCTTTGCTGTTTTTCTACAGCTGATATCATGTACTCTGGAACAATTGACTGCTGGCGGAAGATTGCAAGGGATGAAGGAGGAAAGGCGTTCTTCAAGGGTGCATGGTCTAATGTTCTCAGAGGCATGGGGGGTGCATTTGTGCTTGTGCTGTACGATGAATTCAAGAAAGTCATTTAAACAACCTAACTAGAATTGGAAATCAAGTTGAGCAGATCATGTAGAATAACTACCATTATGGACCATTGACCTTCAAGAAATTCCTGTGAGTCTTATTTATCGGAGCCAGATATTTGTAGATGGGGCTAGAAACTGACATAGAGGACTGATCCATTTCTCGGTAACATGCATGAAGACACTGAATCTGGCAATTCAGTGTGGTGATTTTTTTTTTTTCAGCAGTGAGGAATGAGTGGCATTGGTTCTGGGTCCAAAGTGGCTGGGTCCAATTTAGGCAGAAAAAATTACTTGCCTGTGGATCAGTCCCCGGTTTCAAGTCCTATCTTCTAGGACCATAAAATTGTATTTGAAAGTACTTGCTAACAAATCATGTTCTTTTCCACTTGTACTGAAGCACTATGTACCGTTTTGCACAGCTGAACATCTAGCAATTTTGTTCTTAAATTGGGGCATCCTGCTGTAAAACAATAAACATACTTACTCTGTCTGTGTTGAAATTATTACATAAAAGCTTTGGAAAAGCCTCTTTTGTTTGAAAGCTTGTTTCAGATAATGGTTCCTCTGATATACTTACAGTGCACTCTGTAACAGAATAAGCTTGATTATTTTAAAAAATAATTGAATGTGAGAACTTTGGGGGGGTGGGGGGGAAGCATGGGTTATACTAATAGGAACCACTCCCATTCTTTGTGCCTGATAGTGTTATGATGGGCTGCTGCAAGTGGCTTTTTGCATGATTCTTAGAAATTGATTTGCAACTTTGGATACAATTTAAAATGGGGGGTTTTCTGTTGTAGTGCTAGGAGAACCCCAAGTCCCAAAGACAGTCAAAAAGTAATACTCTTGCCCTTGGTAAAACAGCTTAAAATGAAATAATTTGTTTAAATTGATACAGAAAGCAACATGGCATTCATGCAAAAAACCCAGGAACCTAGTAAATGCCTTCAACTTCTGAGTAACCTATGTATTGTATTGTTGCTGCTATTTGGAAATGCTGATTGTGCCATTCAAGATACTGTTTGGCTTGATCTGTAGCAGTGGTCAGTACCTCTGTCTAAGGTGAATTTAATCTGAAATGAGGCTCATTCGAAGAGGTGGAGTTGGTGGGGGGTGTGAGAGGGAATACGTGTGCTTCTGTGTAGCTGTAAAATACAGATCAAGGTAGGTCAGCCTTCAATATTAACTGATTAATGTCTAGTTCTGGAGATTGTCAGAGGACCAAAATCCGAGTCATTTCTCGTACTGCTCTTTGAGATAATGTAATACTTGTGTGCTGTTCTTCACATGTATATAATCTTAATTTTGTACTTTGTAATCTACAAAGACATGGTAGGGGGACCAGTAAAGGAAAACAAGGTATTCATCTTCCAATCATGTTTTTAAGAACTCTCCCTATATCTTGAGAAAGAAACAACGTGTCATTGTATGAGTCATTGAAGGCTGACTGAGCTGTCTTGAGTTCTTTGTGTGCCTTCTGAGGTTGCTATTCAAGATGAAGTATTTAAATTAACTGCTTGGCTTTGGCTGATTATTACCTTCCTTTCAAACATAATTTACCTTTTTCCTTTCACTGTTGCACAAGCACTCCTTTCAACATCTGTATGTGACTAAGTCCATTACACACTACTTTGTACACAGGCTAATAGCAAACTTTACCTACCTACTGCAAGTGTTTTTATCCTGTGTGGTAATGGTGGCTCCCTTGTGGGGGCAGGTCATTTAATGTTGACCTTGCCAATCAACTTGCTGTTTCAGTTGTAATTATATTGATGGGCAGGGGGGGGAGGCGGGGGAAGAGTTTTCGTCTGTATGAATATGTTGCATAGGTTTATTTTCTGTATCATTGACTTGAAAGGGAGAGGGAATGATAGGATACCTCGCATAACCTTACTGTGAGTATATGGTGGCCCGAGCGTTGTGAAGAAGAACCAAAAGTGACAATTCCTTGAGGAGCTCCTGAAGTGGGGAGGACATTTTTCACACCATCTCCCCCCTCCTCTCCAGAACTAGATTTTAACCAGAAGAAATAGGAAAAGAAATCAATGCAAGTGTAGGTAGCTTTTAAGTGGAACAGCAATTTACCTATGCTGTGCATTCAGCGTGTACTACTTGATGTTAAATTTTTTTTTTCTAGTATACGGCTTCCCTTAGTCATGCGGCAGCAATTTTCAATGTGTGATAATGCAGTGTGGGAACACAAGAGGCAAACAATAAATGAGACTTTTAAAAAAAAACATTTGTTTTCTGCCTTATTGAAACACTCTGTCAAATGTATTTGTTTTGAAAAATATTTTTAACAGGAAAATACCTGGAATTTGTAAAAGAAAATACTGGTATTTAAAGCCTATATTATTTTTAAAAGGCATTGGAAATAGGGCTTGCACCCTTTGAAGGGAACAAGTTAAATGCATTGGTGTGAGGAAATCTTTACATTTAAAATCCAGTTACTAAATTTTATTACAGATTTTATTCTAAATCTCAACAACTGTTACACTGGATTTTTTTTAAGACTTAAATATTATCTATGTGAATTAAGTCCATTATTAATATTGCAGAGTTATATTTACATTGGAAGTACTGAGCTCCTGAAATGGCTGACTGGCAGCCCAGTATTAATAGTTACTTTTGACAAGTGTAGTTTTATGTCCCATTTTTCTGTTTTGCATAAAGTCTATTGAATATACTGTGACAGTTTGGTGTTGCTGGTTGGAAGGCTAAATGGCAATTTTAAACACATTCTGAATTACTAATTTCTGCTTCAGAAAATACTCTGGGTATATAAAAATTACGGCAAAATTAACTGCTGTGGCATTCTTAAGCAGTCCTGTTTATCCTATAGGAAATCCTTGTATTTGGAGGAAAGAAGCATCGCAGCAATGCAGATAGGAAATAAATTTCTTCTCTGTAGGGGATGAGAGGCCTTGTCTCGCATTGTGAAGAAAATCTCAGGAAGGTTTAAGCAAGTCTTCACAGTAGGCATTTGCAGAAAAGCGTAGCTGCCAGGTGGTGTGGTTTTGAACAAAGGGAAAAGAACAAACTGATTTTTCTCCGCTTTTATCCCTGGTTGCATTTTAGCTGGATTTTTGTGGGATAAACAGTTTTATAGGTGATTATATTCCTTTCTAGTCTGGCTTGAAGTATTCCTTCTTGTCAGCAGGATCCATTATTTTCTTTCATGTTGGGGAATCCAAGTGAGTTTTCTTTTTAGAAAGTTATGTCATCTCTTCAACCGTAGTTATTTCCTCAGTACAACTTTTTTTAGGTAGATTTACATATTCTGTCTGAAGAGAAAGAAAACTCTGTAACATGCAATAAGCTATGGAATCACCGTTGATAATTGGAGAACGTTTCTAAACGTTAGATATGCCAGCACCAAAGGCACCTTGTCTTGCTATTTCAATACATAAGAAATTCTTGCAAAGCAGGAGAAAACAGTTTTGAGGGCAGTTAAGGGCTGTTTGACTTTTAACGTGTGTGATCAGTACTAGCCATTTGTCAGCTGAAGGGAAAAGAATAAAAGTAATTTAAATGCTGGACAACCTTAACTGAGACAATAGAATAAATTTCTTCAGTGAGTATTGCCTGAGGTTTTCCGTATGTAGGCATTAACTAGACTTGCAGAGCAAACATTTTGGTTGCTATCATACATTGATTAACCTGGAGTTCTACGAGAGTGGAAGTTGCTAGGTAAGATCATAGTACTGATACAGCGATTGGGGCTTCAAATATTGAGGGGAGAGAAATTTGCTTTTTAAAACAGTGGGAGGGGATAGTACTGGAGGGATTTAAAAAAAAAGCAAGCTTGCTGTCATATTGAGGCTATGTTACAGAACATCAAACCAGGATGTCTTGTCTAGGAAATTGTGGGATTGGTGAGCGCTGCAGGGCTTCGTGGTCATGGTGTCCTGTGCTACTTGGCCGTTCTCTGAGGAAAACAATGCATCTGCACAGAGAGTGTGTCTTGCAAGTTCTTGGAACGTATTTAATTCAGGAAAAGAGGAAAACAAAGTATTAAAGAATAGTTCTGAGTGAGGCTGAGGAAAGCATTTGAGACGAGAATGACCAAAAAGTGACGGAAGATGAGTAAAATAAAACAGATTAGAGGAATGCAAGGTGCCTGATGCACTGTGTGAAGTGGCTGGTAGGATCTTAGCCACAGCAAATAGGAAAACTGGCAGTTCTTTAACATGAGTGTTAAGGATACAAGTGCAAACTCAGTGCAGAAAGGTTCGGGTTGTAAATCATGAGGTTTTCCGGTGATCTAAGGAAAAGTATTGTGAAACAAGACAAAAAATGAGAAAATATGAAAATTCGTCAAGTAAGGAGGGACAAAATGAGGAAATGCAAACTTTAAAAAGGTGTGATTAGCAAAGGGCGTTACAGGTTTCAAAATAACTCGTAAATATATGAGCACTAGATGTCAGGAAGAGATAGTCCTGGTATTCAGTGGAGAAGGAGAGCTCTCTTGAGATGACCTATTTGTGCTTTATTATCCACTTTGAAGAATTACAGCATTCAATCAATCTTAAAGATACCTGAGTGCAGAGAGCAGAGATAAAATAAAACTAGGTTTTAAGATGAGATTAAAACAGGCAAAGAAGAGTCTAGAAACTAGACATGTCAGAGACTTACGAATTATCTTCACAGTGCTTGTTGGCAGGTGTGAGGAAACCTGGGCTGAGGGCTTCACTTGAACTCCGACAGTCACTGCTGGTAAGTTGCTGCCTGCGTGGAAGTGCCTGTGCCACCGCTTACAAAACCACGTCCAGAAAGGCTTCTGGGTGGTAGTGGAGTGATTTGAGTAATTCTGGTAGTATATGCAGAGGAATTTGGAAACCTCTCAAGTTTAGTAAAAGCAAGCCATCTGGAGAGTCTGCAATTTTTGAAGGACGGCTTGCTGCTTTACTAGCAATTACTATTTAATAGTATGATGGACTAGGGACTGCTACTGCTCCATAGCCTTAGCTCTGGCAGCCTGATATGAAGTGTGGTATCAGGTATTTACGACTTGAGGTGTATGAGGAAACTCATCCAAGTGACATCGCTACCTGCCTTCTATTAAAGCCAAAGAGGATAGGACCAAAGACAAATAAGTTAGGACAATGTGCTGGTACAGAGTTACCAGAACTAGAGAGTTTTAGTAGTGATAGCTTTGAGACTCATTTGTAAAGGATTGAAGGAAAATTTCCGTGTCACTTTTGGAAGCCTCACAGGGTGGTGGTGCCCACTGAAACATTGTCAGCAATAAACAACTAGCCTGATTTATTGACTTAAAGTACATCTTTGCTTTAGCCAGCTGATACAAAGCATTCCTCACTATGCAGACACTCTTCAAACCACTGTTCAAATGGGCAAATTAGAAGAGAAGTAGGAGTGGTTTGAAACCTACTTGTCATGATATGTGAAGAAAGACTGGAAGAGTTGCTGTTGACAGTGTGCTAGTGAGTAAGATACAAATCTATGGGACCTGATGAGATGTATCCGAGTCCTGAGGGAATTG